GGCTCCTATTCAACTGGCTTCCTTATACAGCCCAGGCCCAGCTACCCCAGAAATGGTTCTGTCCACAGTGGGATGGGCCCTAGTCTAAGTAATCCTTAATAGACCTGCCCACAGGACAGTCTGACCCAGGTAATTTCTCAATAAGACTTTCCTCTCAGATGACTCTGCTATGTCAAGTTGACAGTTAAAAGCTGACCAGGAGAGATACCTTGATCACAGAAAAGAAAAGTTCCAGAATTTGTGGAACAATTGTATCACACAGTTGAAAAAAATGGTAACAAGGTGACAAAAGAGGAACCATTAGACACTGCTGATACATGATTTGAAAAAATAAATTAAGAAACAACAACAACAACAACAAAAACCCAACAGGATTATTTTCCTTGTTATCTTGGCCCAAATCACAGATTTGCCATAGGAAGTTGAAGTTGGCCACACATAGTCCTGGTAACTGCAGCAGAACTAGGAATGTCTGTCAAGGACAGTAGACAGAACACCACATCAGACCTGACAGCTTCCTGACCTCCTGGACAGCCAGAGTTTTTGTCTAAGTTAATATGGTGATCCGTCTTTAACCGTGTTTTTTTCTATAGCTAGTAACTATTGTATTTGCATTTTCATATATCTGTATTATTGCTTCTTCTTTGCCTGTTGTTAATGGTATCATGGATACTGTTATTATTTTCAAAAGGTTTATATTGTATATTACTGTAAGTTTTCCTTTAAGTTGTTGATCTTATTGTGTATATTCTCCAAAACTGATGCTAGGGACTGAGTCTAGTACTTTGAAAGTACCAGTATGGTGAGTACTTTGTCAGGGAGAAGCAGCTCCAAATAAATGTTACAAACTGCACCTTGCTGAATTCATGAGCTGACATAGTTCACACTTACTTAGACACTTCAGCATAATAGGCAAGATGGCAAGGGATCAGGTATAGCCTAGTGGCACTCACTTACTGCTAGCTGATATCTTTGAAGTCTAGAACAAGAACTGCTTGAGAATATCTACCTTGCAAGGGGGGGGATGCCATGAACATTGACATCTTAGATAAAATCTTACTTAAACGATTAGAGAGAACTAAAGAGAAGAAGAAGAATAGGTCTCTTCTTGACGAGGAAGTGGTGCTGAGGAGACAGCATGAGAGACTCCAGAAACACAATACTGCTCTCAGCATTGATCACAATTTTGTAATCTAGGAAACCGAAGTCCTGGAGTCTGCCGAGCATACTGATGTGGGGTGAGCTCTCTGTTTCTCAGTGTTTGGTCATGGGGTGATGAGACGAGATGGTGCTATCATCTTCTATCTGTGAACATGGTAAAAACCAATGGCCCCAGAAGGCAAAGACCTAGTAAAGAAGCTACTGATATTGCTTTTCTTTTATATCATGCATCACATTTAGAAACCCTATCCCATCTGCTCCCCTCCAGAGGTCCCACACTGAATTTCATGCATTCTGTCATATTTCTTAAGCTCTATCAAGTCAAGATTGTGTCCGCAGATGTCTCTTGGTGTGAGTTCATCCACTGGAGCCTGGTGAGCCTATCTACAATCACTCCCTTAAGGAAGACCAACCCTTTCTTACCCAGCAGTGATCAGCTGTGATAGTCCCTCAGCTACAGTTGGAGCTTCTTACCCATTTCCTCAGTTCTATCCGGGTTTTTTGTCTGTTTCGAGTTCACATGGATTTTCTCCTGTCTGGCACTGTGTTTATTGTTATATAACCTTCAGCTATACAGTTATACTCATATACATATATTTTGTGTGTATTTTTTCAGTAGACTTTTGAACGTTTCCCTCTGGTTTTTCACACCACCTAAGCATTATTTATCTCTCCTCTCTCTACTCCTCTGTCTAACCATTCCTCCTTCCTCCTCCACTAAAGTAATCTCCCTTGATAATACCTATATCCTATTAGTCCCCTCTCTTGAGCTCTTTCTTCTCCTTTACGTTATAGTTCCATGTTATGTCCTTTCCTTCTCCCATCCCAGTTGAATATAACTTTAGCCCAGGGAAAATTAGCTGTCAACTGATTACTGTGGGCTGAGGAAGAATGGATCTTCACTAAGGGCATGATTCTGTATAGGCTGACTACAGTGGATGAACTTGCACGGAAGGATATCTGGTTAAAATGTTTGATCGCATAGGCCTTAACATATATGACAGAATGCATGAAATCTGGTGGGGGTTTAATGGAGGGGTGCAGATGGGGTGAGGGGTTCTAAATTTGATTGAGATTTATTATTTGAAATGCATGAAAAATCAATAAAATGTTCATTATAAATGTTCCTCTTTGACCTCTGAATTGAGATTTTTCTTCTTTATATATCAAGGGTTTTGCTGATTGCATGCTTTTTGAGAAAAGTTTTGAGTGCAGGCAGTGGTGAATGAGTTTATTAAAACCATGACTTCCATACACAACAGGGCAGTTACACACATGAAGACAGTTCTTGTGACAGCATGTATATGTTCTGAGCACGCCCAAGCCAGGCCAAAATACAGCGTGGAAGGGCAAAAGATGGGCAAGAAGCTCCATCCCAGGCTGGGCATCTATTTTGCAACTGATAGCTTTTGGAAGAGGTAGAATCGGGGTCTTTTAAGGGTATGATGTTGGGTAGGTTGACCAAGCTGCAGTGAATGGTCCCATAGCCAAGGACACTTGGGGAACCCAAATTCGTAATGATAGGCCTTAAAAATTATAGAAGACATAAAGTAGATGAGGTAAAAAGATGGTTATGAGCCCAGAGGAGATGGAGAAAAGAGGTCTGCATGTGATCAAAATACACTGTATGTGTTTTCCAAAGATTCAGTAAAAAGAATTATTAAATTGACACTAAATGTAATAAAACTAATGCAATCTCAGTGAAAACCACAAAATTTATTTATAATCCAACATGTTTCTTTTCCTAAGTGGAGCTAGTTGATATTTCAGGACCCACAGGGAGATAAATTTTGTAGTATTTTCAAGGACAAACAAAGGAAAATTGAAAAACCGAGTTAATAGTATAATATATTAAAATAGCTGCAATGAAAACACAAGGCCAGAGGATCATTAATAAGGAAATGAATTAAAAGAGAATGAATTTTCTAGAAATAGGTTCTAAGACGAATGGAATTTTGCATATGATAATGATTTAAATTATAAAATGAGAGTAGATTTTAAAATAAATACTAGGAAGTCAATTTGGAAGCAAAGATAAATTAAGCTTATATTTTCTAACATTTGAAATTGGCTATAGATATAGAAACTAAAGTGAGGGATAGAAACTGAGCATTATCTTTTAAATATGAGTAATGTCTTCTTTATTGACATATAAGGAAACTATTTCTAGCTACTCAAACTCCAGACAGAAAGACAAAAACTGGTACCGTTAATTATAAAAATATTTTTATATCAGACACACAAGCTCATTATCAAAGTCAGATGTCATAGTCAAGAGGGGGACATATTTGTAGCATATGTTATAGATGAAAAGATAATAGGAGTGGCATACACAGAAGTCCTAAGATAGGAGACAAATCAACAGAAAGCTGATCGCTAACCCCGAGATAGATGTACGTGTGAGCAAGTAAATACATCACATGGATTTTTTTCAGTGTACGAAATGATATTCAATCTACACATAATTAGGGAAGTGAAAAGCAAAATGGGATTCTTAATTGTCACTGCAACCAGTAACATTTTTTAGATGATAAAAAGCCACTTTGCTGATAGGAATGTTGAGAAAGGAGAACACTACCATATTGTTCTTGGGAATTGACTCAAGTTATGTAGAGAACAATTTATGTCTGTTTTTGTCTGTGTTTTGTCTCTCTGTGTGTATCACATACATTTATTTCTATGAAAAGCACTCTGCATCATACAATGGCAATCCCTTAGGAAATGATGTTCTTGGATCTCCATTACCCTGAGAATTCTTTGTTCTTAAGAGATTTTTTTTGTAGGTTACAAAGAAATAATTCCTCCATGGTCTCATAACATGGGTAGTTTTCATATGCCGCATTTAGCAAGCTTATAATACTTCACGTAAGTGAATTGTAATAATACAGTCTAGAAGCAAAGGAATGGGACAGACTTTTACAACAATATGCAAGAAACTGGCCAAAAATACTATCTCTAAGAAAATTTATAAATTGATCAAATATATTGGGGTCGAAGTAGGTGCTTGGGAAGGAAAATGGATCATCTGTGCTGGTGACAAGGAGGATGAGCTGTGTTGAGTGCAGAAGCTTGCTCAGGTCTGCACATAACTTGTTAAGAACCTGTTCAACAATCAATGGTCAGTGTTTTTACTGTTTCTGTTTGACTTGTGGATAATGATAAAATCTTAGAAGCAAATACAATCATGATCCAAAAGAGAAACTCTTTATAAGTTTTAACATCTTATAACATTCATCAAACAAAATGCAAAATCATTACATCTATTGGCTTCTGTTACAATTATTTTGTTTTTTCATTTTTTTAAACCTTGGGAATTAACGCACAGTAAATATAATAGTTGAAGCAGAACAAACAGGAGTCTGATGAGATGTAATTCTATCACATGGTTATGCATTTGTATCAATGTTGTCACTGGGCTGACTATTGTAAATGGGAGCACTTTTACATATATGTATATATATATGTACATAATATGTATACTGCAATATAATTCTTCACATCTATCTAATGTGCAGTTAGTGAACAGAGCACTTTTCTTTGCAATAATTTTATGACTCCATCAGAGATTTAAAATAGAGGAAATCCAGTTACTCTTTGCAAAGAAAACGTAATTGAATGTTGCTATTCTTGCTTTAAGTGTTTCATGTCTCTAGAATATTGCCTAATTACTTTGATTCTTTTTAGATCCACTGAATTTGATCTGAAAAACTGCCACTAATACTGGAAAGCCTACTCAATTTTCAGTTTGTTTAGTTTATTTATGTTGTATGCTTTCTGTTTCTAAACAACAAATTATTCATTAGCAGTTAGAAGGTTGGAATATTTCTGCTAACGTTCTCAGTAAGAGAGGTCATGATCTAACACAGTGTCCATTTAAAATCTGATTTGACTGCTCAGGGTGGAGGCACATGCCTTTAATCCCAGGGTCTTGAGAGGCAGAAGCAGGTAGACCTTTGTGAAACTGAGGTCAGCCTGGTCTACATAGCAAGTTCCTGGTCAGCTGGGGCTACAGAAAGACTCTAACTCAGCAAACAAACAAATAAATATCAAAAGATTTGAATATTTTATTTCAATAGTAAAAGTACCCACAAAGCAATTCTCTCCTGCGTGTTTTGCTAAATCTTCTTAGATAAAATTGATGTAACTTGGATTTTAGTGCAAACATATAAAAAACAAAAACTAGTCCATCAACTTTTATAACACTGGAATTTCAAAGCTATGATTTCTGAAGACAGTCACTTTTAACTTGACCTAGTATTGCAAATAAAATCCAGAATATATTTTCTATACTTAAAGTCACTTTTCCCATATAATGGATATAGAATATTGACAATAGTAATATTTATGGACTTTATTCTCAGAAAAGCCAAGAATTATTCAAAATTATAGATTGCTTGATATTTCAAAATTATTATTTTGATTATGGTGATAATATACTTTTAATATAGTGATAATAAATATTATTTTGATTATGTTGATAACCTGTATATTAAAAATTCATCTCAGTAGCAGTCTCATCACTTATTGAAAGCTCAAATTTCTCACATTCTCTGATTTTTTTTAAAACTAGACTTAAAATATACTCATGTTCTTACTATATGATTTAATAATGAGCAAAGATATATGCATTAGTAAAAGAAGCATGTTCTGAATTAAAACATAAATAATATCTGCCATATTATTTTTTATTTACACACTTACCTTCACAGTTTTTACATTTTAATTTTTCCTAGAATCAATTCCCCCTACTTAAGAAACATGTATCAGGGTTTGGAGAGATGGCTCAGAGGTTAAGACCACTGGCTGTTCTTGTAGAGGACCCAGTTCAATTTTTAGCACCCAAATGGTGGCTAACTGATTCCTAACAACAGTTCCAGGGGAAATTGATGTTTTCTTCTGACCTCTGAGGGCATTTCAGGTTATGGGTGCACCTACATATATTCAGGCAGTACACTCATACACATAAAAATGAATAAGATATTAAAAAATGAAACATGCATCATTCCTAGGTGGGCTTCCCTAAGCTTGGCTTTGTCTTCATTTGCCCTTCTTTCTAATAACAGTTCCTAAAGGCATTTTACATTTTTCTGCCTCCATCCCCTTCCAATTATCACATCACTGCTCCAGACATGTCTGTATTAAATCATAACAAGAGCAGACATTTCTAGTTCTCTAAATGATTATTAAAACAATTCCTAATAAAATGTATTAGGAAGAAAATGACAACTTAGGAAAGAGCAGAGAGAGAGAGAGAGAGAGAGAGAGAGAGCAAGGTCATCAGCTAGAGTGAGAGAGAGAGGGAGACACAGAGAGAGGGAGAGAGAGAGGGAGAGGGAGGGAGAGACAGAGACAAAGAGAGAGAGATTGAAAGAACTCAAAATAGTCATTACTGCATTCATTACTCTGAACTCTATGGGATGCACTATCATTAGCCTCAAAGGCATGTATGGGCTGGGAGGGAGGCTCCAGAGTGCAGTAACTGCTTAGCATGCTCGAGGTCCTGAGTTCCATGGTCAAAAACATGAAACAAAAAACACTCAGGTAACTGCTGTGCTGAGATCTTATTCACTGAATAAAATTTGCAAATGCATTCTGAAATTTGAGTTGATCTAGGTGTGTTCTTTTTTGAAAAAAAATTATTTTTATTTCATGTACATGAAGGTATTGCCTGCAGGTAGGTAGGTATGATCGTTCAATGCCTGTGGAAGTCAGAAAAGGGCATTCTATGCCATGGTACTAGAATTATAGATGGTTTTTAGCCAGCATATGGGTGCTGGGAATTGAACTCAGGTCCTCTGCAAGAGTAGCCAGCGCCCTTAACTGCTGAGACATCTCTCCAGCCCCTAGATGTGTTCTTATAGATTTTTTAAATGCCAAATGTTTATTTTACTAAATGCATGATCTTGGTTCTATGTCATGATATTTAAAATTTATCAAGAAATTAATGTCATCATAAGTCTTGCACATTGTGCAAGAAAGAATACTTTTCAGGTTTTTCAGTTTTCTAATTCCTCAAATATAATAAAGAACTGGACACTAAATTTATGGAATAAAAAGCTGAATAGAATGCTTGAAATAAAGCTTTCTTTATTCAGAGGCAGGAACTCTATGTTGTACAAACATGCCATCTGTAAGATGAGATGTAGTTTAGCATTTGTATCTTCAGCATCTTTTTAGTAATTACAGCATCTGCACTTGTTATCATGGTTAGTTTCCTAATGTAATTTCTCTCATTCAGTCCTATGGGAGACAGAGGACACTATGAAAACCATAAGGAGGAACAGTGCAGGCATGACTGACAACCCTCTCTTTAAAAAAGTGCTATCTTCTACCTTTTAAACTAAGTTTTAAGCACCAGTTAATCTGGTCAACATCACGCTCACCATAATATATGCTTATTTTACACCCATGTGAGTAATTTCTCCTTTGGAATAATTCCTTCCATAGAATTTTTGTGTTCACTTACATGTATCTGCTACATATTTTGGCTACTGTGACTAGAGCTATTTCTTAAGAACTTTGAACCATTTACGTGAAAAATAACTTGAGAAATTAATGATATTTTAATTAAACTTTAAAACATGCAATTGGAACAAAATATTTGAAAGAAGGGCCATAGATTAACATAAATGCAATTCAGAAACTGCATTTGAAATGACCTATAAATGGATTTTCTCGATTCTTCATAGAAGAAAAATCTCTCTTTTTCTAAACATACTAATGAGGTAGAAGGTATGTTTTATAGGGTGAACTGTATTATGATTTCTGAAAATATTTGTGTGTTCCTTAAACTTATGAATAGGAACTGTATATGGCTGAGTAGGAAGAAATACGCATTCCAATGTATGACATTAGTTTTATGTCCTCTGTAGATGTGTTAGGACAAAGGAGAAATGAAGAACCAGTCAATGGAGGTGGTATTCATTTTGCTTGGACTGACAGATGACCCTCAGCTACAATCTCCGATTTTCCTGTTTCTGTTTTTCAATTACATCCTGAGCCTTATGGGGAACTTGGTCATCATCCTCCTCACCCTGCTGGATCTCTGCCTCAAGACACCAATGTATTTCTTCCTCCGGAATTTCTCCTTCTTAGAAATTGCATTCACAACAGTCTGCATCCCACGGTTCTTGATGAGCATTCTCACAGGAAACAGAACGATTTCCTACAATGCTTGTGCAGCCCAGTTATTCTTTTTTTTTCTACTAGGAGGCACAGAGTTTTACCTCCTGGCTGCCATGTCCTATGACCGCTATGTGGCCATCTGCAGACCTCTGCATTACCCAGTCATCATGAACAGCAAAGTGTGCCACCTGCTTGTTCTCAGCTCCTGGGTAACTGGGTTCTTAGTCATCTCCCCCTCCTTGCTCTTGGGACTGAAGTTGGAATTCTGTGCTTCCAAAACTGTAGATCACTTCTTATGTGACACTTCTGTCCTGCAGCTGTCTTGCACAGACACACATTTCATAGAATTTATGGCTTTTGCTTTAGCTGTGATGACCCTTGTCCTCACCTTGATCTTGGTGATCCTCTCCTACACACTCATCATCAAAACCATTCTCAAATTCCCTTCAGCCCAACAACGAAGAAAGGCCTTTTCCACCTGCTCCTCACACATGGTCGTTGTCTCTATCACTTATGGAAGCTGTATCTTCATGTACGTGAAAACATCGGCAAAGGAAAGGGTGACTTTAAATAAGAGTGTATCTGTGCTCCACACGTCTGTGGCTCCTTTGCTAAACCCTTTCATTTACACGCTAAGGAACCAGCAGGTGAAAGGAGCTTTGAAACACACGCTTCACAGATTTTGCTCTTTTCAGAACAGTGAGGAAAGGTGTAGGCACAAATAATATGATGTTGGAATATGAAAGAGAAAATTAGTTGCCGTTGTCAGTTGCACTAGTTCTAATCTAAGCCATTTCACACAC